GAGAAAACCATTGAACGCACTACAAACAAATCAGTTTGCTTCTGTGGCTTGAGGCGGGTGCATATCAAATCCATGACTTCCTGTTGACAGGATACTCTTGGGCTGCAGCCATGTAGTAGCTCACACTCTCACACACCAGAGCAGACACGCACTCACACACACCATGTCCAAATACAGCTTCTGATCACAGGTCAGATAGTCTTCTCGGTAACTTAACCTTCGCGGTAACGGTTATGGAGGACGGAGTAACCTGATTATAGCTAGGAAGAAGTTCCAGCCTTTTCCTCCAGAGTAAATCCACAGGCTGTATGGATACACATCTCTTGGTCAGTAGTGCTTCCACCACTCATCAAAGTGAAGTGTCAGCTCTAGCTTTGTGTGAGACTTAACCCCCACAGGAACAGGATACGGCACCTGAAGCCACAGATTGTGCACAGAGCAGGCACATTAGTGATATATAAGGCTGCACTTCCTCTTGCTGGTCTGACATGGGCCAGCGCTGATGTGCAGACAGTGAAAGTCATCATAACAGAACCAGTGTGAGCTGATAGAGGCCCACGAGTGATTTCGAGAGTAAAGTACAGGCAGACTGGCAGTGTGTGAGTTTCACATCATGGGGGGGGGGGGGGTTTTGGAATGTAAAGGCTGTGTGTGTGGGCAGGGGCTCTATCAACCTGCTGTTGTTGACTTATTCAGAGAGTGTAAGACGTAACTGGAGACTTGAGGAGGACATTTGTCTATATGTATGTTGTGTATTTTTGCCAAGGTAACCACTTTTTAAAGTATACATCCAAAACTGTTTATGAAAAGATTTGTGTAGAGTATTTTCAGCCAAACGTGATCACTTTTTTTAATTAGTGCTATTTTACTGGACTGCTGTTGTACATTCCCTAGAGAACCTAGTTAACTTTTTCTTATAGATAAGAGAATGATATACTGTATCTTTAATTTGAAAAATGTATAACTCCTATATAACTTGATAAAAGCTCACTTTCTAAAGCCATACTGTTTTATTAAGTTCTTTCTTTTTATTTATATATGTATCTAATCTTTCTGTAGGCTGTGGACCATAGAGAAAGTGATGTCACGCTTTGGTGTAACACGCCATGTTTTGAGGATCCTGCTGCATTTCTGTTGGTGAGTTGGAGGATGTGCTTAGATTTTCTGTCTTGATTCTGGAAAATGTCCCAATAGTAGGTCAGTGCTGCTGCTTTCATATCCATTTATACTCAACATATCTGCCCATGGCAAGTATAAAATCCCCCCCCCCCTTTTTTTTTTTATACACTTTTAAAATTTTAAAAATGAATAATTTTTAATAATACAACTAAACAAACCCAATATGACTAAACAAGCTTTTGACTCAGTAAAAAAAAAAAAA